AAGTCCCGTTATATTTAAAGTTAAGGGAATGTCTGTTGATACAATTATTGTGGCTTTCTAGACCACACTTCATTAACTTCCAAAATATTTTCAAGTTAACAGTATTTTTTGATTAAGTACATCAAATGTCACCTTAAATATAATTGCATAGCAGTTTAAAAATTTAAAGCAACCACTGCATTTTCAAACAAATGAATTCCGAGCTGAGGAGAGGCGGGTAGGGGGATCCATAAGTTAAAAGAAATTCAGAGATATATGCAACATATGGACCTTATTTGAAGTCTGACTTGAACTGGAAAATTATGAGACAATTTTAAATGCTAACTGAATAATTACTAATAAACTGTTAATATTTAAGTGTGATAACAGTATTGTTATCTTTAAGAGCTTTTTCTTTCAGACATACATAACTGAAATATTTACAAATGAAACTATTTGCTACCTGGGATTTGCTTCAAAATAAATCAGGGTTGGGAAGATGGGTGGCATATAGATAAATCAAGATCGGCCATGAATTGATTATGTTTAAGTAAGTTCATCATACTATTTTGTATATTCTGAAATTTAGCATTAAAAATAAAATAAACACTACGCCAATGTCCACTATGTATTAAGAGCACAGGTGGCTGGCAGCAACTAAACAGTATCAACTAAAATTTTACAAACTTAAGAAATTAATTTCCCAAAGCAAAAGAGCTCTGAGAAAATAAATAATGAGACTGACATATCTGTACGAATTACGTATACAACGTTTTAAGTATTAACACCAGTCAAAGGCTAACTGGGTAGTTATATCAATCACTGTACACACAATAGCACAAAGCAACAGCCATCAGCATCACTCTTCACCTACACAGTTTATCTCCTCACCAGAGTTCACTAAGGGACTGGAACTCCCACTGGAAGGGTATAACTACTACCCTCACTGGTTACAGAAAATACTGCCTTCAAGTAAGTATAAGTACATTGCAAGTAATTTTATTTATTTATTTATTTATTTATTTATTTTTGTGTTACGTGGGCCTCTCACTGTTGGGGCCTCTCCTGTTGCGGAGCACAGGCTCCGGACGCGCAGGCTCAGTGGCCATGGCTCACGGGCCTAGCCACTCCGCGGCATGTGGGATCTTCCCAGACCGGGGCACGAACCGGTGTCCCCTGCATCGGCAGGTGGACTCTCAACCACTGCGCCACCAGGGAAGCCCTGCAAGTAATTTTACAGCAATCTCTCAGACCACCTTATGTTGGGTTGGCCAAAACGTTCATTGGGGATTTTCCATTACATCGTACGGGAAACCCAAACGAACGTTTTGGCCAACCCAATACTTACCCAAATTGCACATCCTACAGACATGTGAATTAGGATAGCTAGATATATATAACTTGCACACTTAAGATACATATCCACCAGAATGACAATAATAATAGTAATAATAATAAACATTCACAAGGATTTAGAGAAGCTGCAACCCTTATGCATTGTGATAGGAATATTTTTAAATGGTACAGCCACTTTGGAAAGCAGTTTGGCAGTTTAGAAAGTCAAACAAAATTTCCAAACAACCCGACAATTACACTCCTAGGAATCTACCTAAAAGAAATTAAAATATATGTCCACACAATGACAAATATGGGGAATGTTCACAGAATTACTATTCATAACCAAAAATGTAAACAATCCAAATGTCCAACTGGTGAATGAATAAACAAAATGTAGTATATCCATACAATGGAATACTATAGCAACTAAAAGAACTAAAGTACAGGTATATGCTATAACACGGATGAACCTCAAAAACATTATGCCAAGGGAAAGAAGCCAGATACAAAAGACTTCAAATTGTATGGTTCTATTCACATGTAATTTCTAGACAGGGAAAATTTATAGAAACAGATTAGTGTGGCTGCCTGGGGCTTGGGGTAGGAACAGGAACTAACTGCAAAGGACCATGAGGGGAACTTTTATGGGCTGATGGAAATTTTCTAAAACTGGATTGTGATGATGGTTTTGCCACTCCATGAATTTACTAAAACCACTGAATTATACACTTACAATGGGTGGATTTTACAGTGTGTAAATTATAGCTCAATAAAGTTGTTGAGTACCATCACAATAAAGTCTTAGGAACGACTATTTTAAAGCTCTGGCTTTCATTTCATATAATTTCAATATATTTAATTCTAACATACTCTCAGGATTAAGAATATTGAAAACTAAACTGGCTATTTTCAAAGGATTCCAAGTACACACATCTCTAAACCTTACTGATCAAATATTGCTCTTTAAGCTCTGTGTCATGTAACTATGTGACAAAAATCACTGTCTACAGCTTTCCTTAGTATTTCCCCTTAGCCATTTTGTTTTCCCCTAAACTTATGCCCTACAGTGTTCCTTTCCGTAAAAATCTCATTTGGCACCGCTCAAGTTTTCCGTTAGATCCAATGTTTTCTTAAAATATTTCATAACCTGAAATAAAATTTTAAGTAGTGATATTAAACATCTACCTAAATACATATATACATTCAAATATAAAATGAATATTATCCTTTTTAGCTTTGCTTTGTTCATTAAGTTACGTGCATGCTGCTGTCTGGTAAGTTTCCAAACTTTGAAACAATGAAGTTTCAAATCAAGCTTTGTTTTCACTATTTTGGTTAAAAATTATTGTTTGTTTTAAACTTCTTTGATGGATTCTGACTCCATCTCTTCCCATTCCACTGAAAAATCTGCCAAAGAGGTTATGTTCCCTTTAAGCCAGTCAATAAAACATTGTTTTAACCAAACACTTTTTCCCCAAACCAAATCTCATATGAAACGCCAATAACCTACAAGAGATAAAATAGAAAGCTTCCAACCTCATACATACAGCATCTCAAGGTATGGCTTGAAAACAAATGCTTTAAGTTACAAGCTACACTGACTTCTGCACAGCACAAATACAGAAAAGGTAAAGCTGAAAATACATAAAAGCAATACTTTTAAGAAAAACTTGGATATACTTGATTAAAAATATACTTTTTAGGAACTCAATTTTTAAAATGGATTAATTATAAAATGATTCCCCAAATAGTTTGTCTTTAAAACTCCATAAATAAAGACATTACTTTTGGGGAATTCCATCTACTACAAAGGCTGTGCACATTTTATCATAATTTCCTTATTATGACAGATTTAAAAAAGACCAACAAAAGAGAAGTCAAAAGCCACATTAACACAAAACACTGAGCCTAGTGGAAAAGTGTCAAATAAATGAGTTTGTCAGCAAGTAATGCCAATTACCCAACAGGCAGTAAAGAAAATAGATGGCAAGAATGCTCTGGTAAAACCATTTATGTAACTGTATTATGAATTAAGAAAAAAAAAAAAAAAACATAACTATCTGCCTCCAGAATCAGGTACAAATCAAGCAAATATTCAACCAAAATAGGGACAAATAGTAAAGGGTAAACCTGGAAAAGGGGATTTGTACTATTAGGAATTTTCAAATTTATCAACTACAAAATATAAACCCCTTCCCCTTCAGAAATCAAAGGTAAAGGTATCATGATATATAACTTCACCACATTTTTATAAAATAAAAATAGAAATTATATTGCTATATGATTGTAAAAATGGAGGCAAGTAAAGAGTTCAGAAATATACTCGTTTATAATCAATTAAATGATGAGCCATAATTTGAACCCTAATTATCACATTATGTAGAAATCACAATTCAGGTATTGCGTCCTCAGATATTAAGTTATATGTTAAATAGTTCACATTTTAAAAACATTTTATCATTACATTATCAAATTTGATAAAATCTTATCAAAACATCTATGTATGCAATATAAATCATATTGTTAAAAGTATAAAGTAACATTTAAAGAAAACTGCTGAGGTGTCAAGTAAGTATTTTCTATTAAATATACACAATTTAACACTTAGAACTCCATAAATTAATTCTTGCTAAAAGTTGATTCAGGTTTACAAAGGCATACTTCGTGAACTATAATAAATTTCCCCAGCACCACTTTCCTTTTTTTATTCCAAAATTCTTTCATTAGGTTTAACTTTCTTCTGTCATTCATACGTAAAAGTTACAGAAGGTTTACAATACGTAGTCTTCATTGTAACATGTTTTTAAAAATCTAAGCAAAGTGCACATTAAACTGGCTACAACTACTCAAACCTCTTGATTATCATCAAATAAAAAATAGATGAACACTTCATTCACTTAAATCTTCCTGAGGAAAAAAAATAGTATACCTTGCTTAAATAAGAATTCCCCAGTAAGCATATTATATAAAAGATTTCCCATGTTATTTTATTAAGTTTTCTTTCTCTCATTAAAACTTTTTAAAAGTCTAATGAAGAACACATACTTACAAAGCCGTATTACACAACTACAGTACCGTTAATTAAATAAAGCAGCCCAGTATAGTTGTAAACATTTTAAATGTAGTAAACAAGACTTGGCATGTCTTTTCTCCCCAAAACTTGCCATTATAATGCTCTTTCCATAAATAATTATCCTTTCTGGAAAAGTTTTCCGGTATATTTTAGTCTTTAAAAGTATTACACTGAAATAATATGTGAAAAGATTTAGTCATGGCAATTTCACTGAAGCTTTTATTGCCTCTGTTGGTAATATGACAGGGATGTAAGAAACACAATTGAACTTACAGAGATATGCAGATGATAGTCACTAAAGATAATCTTGATCTCAAGTATTTTTATATGTGGGCACTTCTAATTTTATACACTTTACTATTTAAAAAGCATTACATTGTAAAATGTGTACCTGTTTTGACATTTGGCAAAAAGGAAACTGTACCTGTGGTTCAGTTTAAAACAAAGAATCAGCATGGGGAGTTTACCAGAATGAAGACTGAAACACTAATGAATTAAAGCAATTCAAGTTGTGTGTGTGTGTGTGTGTGTGTGTGTGTGTGAGAGCATGTGTGTCTCTTTCAACCTGTCAATCTCTCTTTCACACACACTCACACACACACGGCCATTATGTGTAAGCATTTTTTAGTACAAAATATTCCCTGTAACCAGACATGTATCCTCAGAATAACCACACCACATTAAATCAGTCTTCTCTTTTCAGCCCTAGTAATAGTATTGTTTAATTCTAAGATGCCATCATAGAGTTAACAACCTTAATTTTTACGCTACATGATTATAGTCAAAGCTTTATGTATTTTTCTGTTTATAATTACATAGTAATTATAAATGTTTAGTACCAAACTGATGACAAACACTATTTTGTTGAAAAGGTCTTGCATTTAAAAGGAAAAGTCTGTAAAACCCAAGGCACTAGGCCACGAATCAATATCAGACTTTTATGAAAAACAATTTATATTGGGGAAAAAAAGCTAATCGGATCTCAGTTCAAAACACAGCATACCGGAATTAATTAATCAATTCAAAAACAATACCATAACTCAAAATCTTCAAGACAGGAAACAAAATAGTACATTTATATATATATATCTTTTAAAAATTTTTCATAATTGAAGTTCCTCTTAATATTTACAAATATGAAATCAGGAAATACTGAAAGCAGCAGGATTCTTCTTTTTTCTTTTCTTTTTTTAATAACCAATTCCAGTAACCTGAATAGAAATTTTCAAAATTTTGATAGAATCATATTCTTGAATTAAAGTTATGATTAGAATATTAATATCTATGGGGAAAACTTTCTAGTCAATTTCAAAATTGTAAATAAAAAGTAGTTTTAATATATCATTGTTTCTTAAAATCATTTCCGCATATACCTTATAATGTACTGCTATTCTGAAGTACATACCTTTGATAATTTCAACATTAGAACTTAGAGTGCCTGGATACACCAAGCAAAATCTACTCCTGCTAAAAACCAGTCATCCAATATCAGAAATTTTACATTTTTTAACCTGCCTTACAGAAATGTTTAAGAAAGCAATAAACCCTTCTTCACAGGTCAAGAAGTGAACAAAGAAATGAGCATTTTCAGCATGAAAGCAGTTCATGGGTCTTGTAATGAAGAAAAAAAAAAAACATACAAGACAGAGTTCTGCTTTGACGTGAAAACTGAGCTAATCTGAGTGAAACAAAGAACAGTAAAAATTAAATAATTTACGAAAATAGAAGCCAGATTGGTACTTTGCATCAAGTGCATGCCTGCTTGAAAATCTTTGCTCCTGAAATATTTGGCAACCACAGTGATTAGCAGTTAAAGCAATTTCAACAAAATAAGAAGTCATCAAAAATGGACTATTTGTCTGAAAGAGCAGTACCTATAAGAATTGAACTTTATGGCTCATTACAACCATTTTCAAAATTTAATTCCTACTATCTTCTTATAAATTAAGAGAATTTCATTTGTGTTCCATAGTGCGCTGACCAAAAAAACCCCCCAAAACAAAAATAAACCCTCATGCCTAAATTTAGAATATTGTATTATGTAGCAATCTAAAACATTCAAAACAAATTAAATAGTTTAACTTACTCGACAGGCATATAAGCGTTTCAAAATCATAATGAAATCCAATTATGGAGTGCATAATGTAGACAGGAGTAGAATCTAACATTATGCAGATGTTTTTCTAAATAAAACCCCCTGTAAGACAACTATATATAAACATGGGTAAGATAAGTGCAGACTAGTTCTGTGGAACCTTCTGAAATCGAGGGTCTAAAACACAGTAAAATTTTGGGTAGGCACACCAAGTTATCCTAAAAATGTTTCACGTTGGTTATTTTGACTTTTTTTTCAACAGACACTCTACTCACGTTAACAATACATGTGATTTGCCAGGAAAAAAAAAAATCCCCCCATACCAAAACACCATTCCAGATCTGGTACACTTAAATATATCACTCTCACTGGAAGTGCTATCAGCATAGTCTTTGCAACTAGCCCAAAGCATATATTTAAGAAGTTTTTATAAATTGTGATGTTCACATGTTTAATTCTTATGCCAAACTGTTTTCTGATGAAGACAGCATTGTGCTTTATGCAAGAATGGAAACTTCAAAATAATCACCATAAAGCTTCTAAGACTTATGGGAGAATAAACTAGGATGGTCCACAGATATAAGATGAAATCCACAATGTTGGAATAATAACTGTTTAGAGCGGCCCAGACTAGAAGACAAGCCCAAACCACCATTAGAAGAATGAAATACGATATGGTCCAAGATGTATCCTTAAAGTTTTGTCTCAACCCTCAGTCTGAATTGTGAGGATTGATCTTCAGTTCAGTCCAGCCAGCAGAAATTGACTGTGCAATTTTCCATTGTATTTATTGTACAGACTATGTACATTCTAGAAGGTTCCTTTAGTGCTACACTGTTGTACTTTTTGTCCCAGCAATTTGAGGGCGTGCAAATTCCACAAAGTCATCAATAAGAACAGGCCATGCTCCTGTGGAGGGGGGGAGGGGGGATGGGAGAAAGGAAAGAAAGAAAAGCAGAAATAAGGCTAACATTTTAATAGAATCCTTTATTTTTTTAAAATATCTTCCCCATAATTGTTAAAGTATGTCATTGTAAGTATTCCCACTGAGTTTCCACCTAGAGTATTCCTTTCTCTCTTCTCTATTATTCCACCACTTGATAATTCCTTGAATGATAAAAAAATAACCCTTCTGGTAACTAATAATATTATGGTTTTCTGAAGGCCACTGAAGCCAAGGCCACTGAAGTAATTTGGTCAAATCTGACCTTGATATGACGACATGCTGCCAGTGCTGCTGAAAGCACAGTAGGTTGGAGTTAATCTTTTTTTGCACTTTGTGGCAATCTTACAAAGGAAATTAACAGCAAGGATCAAACTCTAACCTATTTCATGACAATAAATTACTAAAGGATTTTAAATTACATATATGCATGCCTCTATACATGCCTCTTCTCTATGCCAACCTCCAAATCAGGAAGTTCTTCACTTTTGTGTAAGGTCTAACAGAAAGCACAATTCTCAATTATCAGTCATTTCTCACTTCTTAAAGAAGACAATACATGACAATGAAAACAAAGATAAGGAAATAACATTATCTTTGGTTACATTAAGTAGTTCCAGGACACTTTTAAGGAAACCAAGGTTACTAGAGATTTTTCAAAAAATACCTCTGCCTATTCAACAATACCAAAAAAAAAAATCCTGCTAATTCTCAAGGGGAACTAGGTAAGTATGCGTGAAGAAATGAATGTCAATCACTGTCAGTTCCAGAAAAACAAAAGCACATGTCCTGATAGTGGATGGCAAAATCATCCTTATACATACATGAAGAAACAGCAGAAAAGCATTCAATCAGTGAATATTTACTGAATGCCACGAGTACTACAGTAGGAAACTAAAGTCCGTTTCCATTTGGACAAGGTCACTAAACTTAAGGAGTTTACAATCAAGTTCACAGACAAAACAGACAACAACAAAAAATACATATACAAGTACTATAAAAGTACATTAAGAAAAGAATAGGTTCCTAAAGTAAACTGAAAATCTAAAACATGGATGAAAAGTACTCATGCCTTTCTGGAAGAAATGAATACACAGAATTGGTATTTAAGGAAACAATGCAGATTGGTAGAGGATGAAGGCATTTCATACATTCAGAAGAGCACAAATAAAAGCTCAGAAGAGGGAAATCTAACTAAGAAAAACAGAAGTACACAAGAAGTTCAAGAGTGTGTGATAAAAGACGGCAAATTTTTCAAAACACTGATAGAGCAAAATGTTCATTACCTTCTTCATCATAATTAGACATGTCATCTGCAATCATTGTACTGAAGTCTAAAAGAAGATTCCAAGTATCTTTTGGTATTGATCGTTTATGATGTTCCTATTAAAAAAAAAACAAGAAGCATCCAAATCACTAAAGAGTTTCAAAAAAAACAGTCCAGATGATGCCAAATACAAGAATGCAAAACAACCTATGTAATAAAATTCTGGATATCAAATTTTTCATTCTATGTCCATTACATGCTCTGAAATGAGTTAGTTATGCTTTAAAATGTTAATTTATCTTCAGACAAAGCGAAAGTTTAGAGAAAACACCAAACTGCAGAAAATATGAACTTACCAACAAAAATTTATTCCATAAGTCTAAGAATTTAAATCTTCCATTAAGCACTAAATTCCAGTAGGCAATGGCCATTTCTAGATCTGTAATATTAAAAATAAATTATATACTTCAAATGTCAGGAATATTTGTCCCTGAAAAAAAAACACCAGGTAAGACAAAAGATAGCCTTTAAAAAAAAAAAAAAAAGGCCTGTGTCCTGAATACTTACATAATAAAAATTTCCTATAGAGTTAAGTCCAAGCTTTGTATCCTGCTTCCATCACAAATGAATGGTGCCTTCAGGGCAAGAAGGATATCACTTACCTCATAAGGGGTTTCTGAAGTTTAAATGAGATAACGTAGGTAAGCATGTTTGACTAGCTCATAAGTATTCAAATATTAATGTACACCAGTATTTCTTGACCTCAGCACTTTTGACATTTTGGGGCAGATAATTTTTTGTTGTGGGAAGCTGTCCTGGGCATTACAGCACTAGCAGCATCCCTGGCCTCTATCCACTAGATGCCAGTAGCAGTTCTGCCCCATCCCCAGTGGTGACAACCAAAAGTATCTCCACATATTGACAAAGGTCCCCTGGGAAGCAAAGCTGCCCCCAGCTGTAAATCACTGAGGTACACCTATAAGCTGTAATGCAAACAATTACTACCCACAATCCTAACCAATCTTACGCTCCAAGTTATTGGCTGACTGATCCTCAAGGAGACCATTAAGAATATTAAAAATTAAAAATTAATAATAAGCTAAGATTTGTCTTTTTAAAAGTTTGATGAAGAGGATATAAATGACTATTTAACTGGTTTTGGAGCCGATAAGGATAAAGAAGCAATATTACCACATGACAAAAAACTGTATCTGTCATAGCAACAGAGAGAAAGAACTATGATCTCTTTCAAGAAACTAAAGTAGTTAGGTCAAGCTGTTATGAGTAAATTTACATTTCCAGGTCAGGAAAAATTATACCTCAAGTAACTTAAAAGTCCTTTTAGATATGATCTCCAAACTACTCTGGATAATCTGAGGAATCATGAAAGACTAGGAAAGACTCCAAAAAGGCTCACATCCTACCTGAAAAAAAACCATATAGGACATAAGGCAAAAAATCCCCCATCTTCACTAGACCCTAACCTCTTCAAGGATAGGGACTACATATCCCCAAACTAGCAGACTGAAACACACAGTAGGCATTCATAAACTGCTGAATGAACAAGTTTCCTTGGAAAAGGTGCCTCTTCTCCCATCCAAGGTTAAGCCCCTAACACCATTATTATGGATCCAGTATGCCATCCTGCCTTTTCAAGGAATCTGGTCTACTGATTAATTTTCTTCTCTCCCTGTATCTTCAACTTTGCCCTGTCTTCCAGCTTTCCCCTCCACAAAGGAACATGCTCAAGTTATCACCTATCTTTAATAAATCTTTCTTGTATCTCTCCATTCCCTTACAAGCTACCCTCTTTCTCCTTCCCTTCACAGATCATCTTGAAAGAGTACATGGAGTCTTCTACTTTTATTTTTAATGTGCTCATGAAAACATGTCTGAAAGTCAAGTTCAGATCCCCATGTTTTAAGAGAACTAGAAATATGACAACAATCCCTAATCACAATTCCTTTTTAATCTTTGCAGTCTTTAAAAGCTCTATACCAAATATTCCTTCCAGGTTCTTTAATTTTATTCTTTTCTTTACCAACCAAACATATAATTGTCTAGCTTAAGTGCAGTAAGATCGCTGTTATTAGCATGTATAGTAGGATTTGCTGTTATCAGCATGTATAGTAGGATTTGCTGTTATCAGCATGTATAGTAGGATTTGCTGTTATTAGCATATGCTTAATGATATCCTTCACTTCAAATGCATTAAATTTATGAGAACTAAGCATATTACTAGTGTTAGCATTTTTTCCCTTTTCAATTAATTTTTAGAAATAAGGATGAGAAACAATGAAATATTCAAATAACTAAACCATGAGACACCTATAAAGGCCCATTTCTCAGCTGATATACTAACCTAAGAATCTTACAAGAATAAGAGTGTACATATATGATGTTTGAAGTTCAGGTAGTTAAAAGAACTTTTTGTAATCTACATTCATTGTCCAATTTCCTCACCTACCACACATTTTAATTCTATAAACTAGTGTCCACCTCCGTCACTCACCCCACTGAAAGTAATCTCTGAAGGGTCACCAAGCCCTTCTGGTTGCCAAATAAACCTTTAAGTCCTTAATTTACTTGGCTCTCTGCCGTATTTGACAAAACTGAGTACACCTCCTGGATGGAACTGTCACTTCTCTCAGCTTTAATGGTATCACTCTATTGATTTTCCTCTGTCCTCTCTGGCCTTATTTTCTTTTACTGCTCCTCTTCCTCCATTTGTCCATTAAATGTTGATGTTCTATAACACTGTACGTCAGCAATAACCACCTCTACTTCTCTCAGTAGATTTTTCAAACCTTTACCTTTTTTCAAGTTATATGCTCAAACCATCTCTAACAAGTCCTAAATCTGAAACTGCTCTTTCTATATTCTAGATTCTTACATCTAATTGCCTAAGGACATCTTCAACTGGATATCCACAAACAACTCAAATTCAACAGGACTCAAACTGAACTAATTATCTTACCTCTATAGACCTACCATTTTCTTTTCTCTCAACGAATGTCATCACCCTACAGTGTTTCTCAATGAAACACAATTTTTCATTGTAAGGAAATCAAGTCCTATGCACTGCAGGTCATTTAGCAGACCCCTAATCCCAGTAGAAGCCCTCAGTCGTTATAACAATACCAAAAATACCCCCCCACATTTCCAAATATCCCCAAATGGGGGTTAAGACTAACTTCCTCATCACACTTTCAATCAAAGCTTTCTCATTTTGGCTTCTAAGCACCTTTTAAATCTCTCTCTTTTCTCCATCCCTTGCTAGGGCCTATGCTAAGGTCCTCTTCATGTCTAGCTAAATCACTGCAACAGCTTCATAACCAATTTCTCTTCCTCTAGTTCTGCCTCCACACCTTTTAAAGGACCACACTGCTTTCAGATGGAGCTTTCACGCATATAAATTTGGTTTCACTTCCATGTTAAAATTCTTCAATGATTAAAACAACAATGAGATACCACTACACACCTTTTGGAATGGCCAAAATCCAAAACACTGACAACACCAAATGCTGGCGAGGATGTGAAGCAACAGGAGCTCTCATTCATTGCTGGTGGGAATGCAAAATAGTACAGCCACTTTGGAACAGTTTGGCAGTTTCTTACAAAACTAAACACACGCTTACCATATAATCCAGCAATCACACTCCTGGGTATTTTCCCAAATGAACTGAAAACTTATATCCACACAAAAACCTGCACATGGATGTTTACAGAAGTCATAACTGCCAAAACTTGGAAGCAACCAAGATGTCCTTTAGTAGGTAGACAGATTATATAAACTGTGGTACATCCAGATGAAGGAAAATTATTCAGTGCCAAAATGAAATGAGCTTTCAAGCCATGAAAAGATACCGAGGAAAACAAATGCATAATAATATTATTAAGTGAAGAAGTCAATCTGCAAAGGCTACATACTGCATGATTCCAACTATATGACATTCTGGAAAAGGCAAAGCTATGGAGAGAGTAAAAAGATCAGTGGTTGCCAGGGGTTAGGAGGGAGGAAAGGATGAACAGGCAGAGCACAGAGGTTTATTAGGGAGAGTGAAACTTCTCTGTATGAAGCTATTATGGTAGATACATGTCATTATACATTTGTCCAAACTCACAGAATGTACAACATTAACAGTGAACCCTAGGGGAGGGATAAATTAGGAGTATGGGATTAAGATATACACACTACTATATACGGAGTAGAGAACCAACAAGGACCTACTGTATAGCACAGGGAAATATACTCAATATCTTGTAATAACCTATAATGGAAAAGAATCTTATATGTATCCCATATATATATAACTGAATTACTTTGCTATACACCAGAAACTAACACAACATTGTACATCAACTATATTTCAATAAAATTTAAAAAAGAAAAAAAGAGTGAACCCTACTGTGAAGTTGAACTTTGGATGATAATGATGTGTCAATGTAGGTACAACTGTAACAAATGTACCATTCTGGTGGGGATTTGATAATGGGAGAAGCTATGCAGTGTGGGGGAAGGGAGTAGTTGGGAAATCTCTGTACCTTCTGCTCAATTTTGCTGTAAATCTAAAGCAGTTCAAAAAATAAAGTCTATTAACTTTTTTAAAATCTGCAATATTCCCTACTGCCTTCAGATAAAAATCTACATTTCTAGTCAAATGAACTTACTTGCAGTTTCTCAAAGGTGCTATGTCTTTCACCTCTAAGCAACTGAACTTGCTAATCTCTCCACATTAGAGACGGCTTCTTTTTCTTTTGCCTTTGAAAACATATATTCATTCTTCAAGGCTCAAAAATTATAATCTTTCTGAAGACTTTGCAAACTCACTCAGACAGACTTAAGATGTTCCTAACTCCATGCTCTCAGAGTAACCTGCCAATAAATGTTTTTGGATGAAACAGGAATATTCAAAAAGATTAATAAGTTATTATTAGGAGCTGAAACACATAAGATTAAGTTGTACAGGGATAAAATGTCAATTGCCACAAGCATATGAAAAACTGCCCTTTAGGGAATTCCCTGGTGGTCCAGTGGTTAGGATTCAGCATTCTCACTGCCAGGGCCCCAGGTTCAATCCCTGGTCAGGGAACTAAAATCCCATAAGCCACACGGTGTGGCCACACACACACACACACACACAAACAGAAAGGAGGGGAGGGGAG